TTGCGAGTAATGACGGGGTATACATTTTAATCTACTCAAAAATTTTATAACTGCATACGTTGCAGAACACATTTACTGATAAATTTTTAAAGTTTGGTGATGAATTACTATAAATTATTCCATGTTATTCCTTTTACTTACTGGTGGTCTACTTTGCTGTTGTTCCACACATGACATGCAGGGCAGACCTGTTAGAAACCCAGTCAAGTCTCCTTGAGACTGGCCACTTTCTCTTACATAGGTCTCTCTGTTTGATAGACACTGGTATCTTCAAAATAATAGATAAGTTTTTTTTTTAAGGGCTGAGTAAAATTGCCCTAGATGGGGTTGTGCTTTCAAAGGCAATCGGAGGTCACCAGTGTTTGCTGGCAGTGGACTTCCTAGTATCCAGAAATGATGCCAATAAAAATGATAATATGTGCTTAGCACAATGCCACCCCAATCTGGGAATGTGTGAAGGCCAAAGTTCATTGGAAATACTAATGGGAAAACTGATTAAAGCCAAGAATGCTGCTCATTATGTAAACAGTGCTTCCTGTTGAATTAAAACAAAACAAAACAAAACAAAACCTTTCCTTTGGCACATGATTTCTTTAACTCTGAAGATCTAAACTCCTGGAGAGTTTTTAATAAAATATTTAACAAAAGGAATGGTAAAGAGTAACTTCTCCATAAATTCCATTTATACTTGTATCATGCAAGTCTTAATCTAATATCTGATTTATTAAAAATATTTAAATGAACGCATCTATTCATAAGCATGCAATTATCTGTAATCAAATCAAAAACTTAACATGTTTAATTTTTCAAAATATAGTAGGTTAATTTTTCTACGTCATGATACAGTTCCATGGAAGCTAAACTTTTATTTCCCTTTAGAGCAAAGGAACTCAATTTGCAATGGAAAAAATAACAGTTTAATGAATACTTACCTGAAAAAGTCCAGTTTTATTGAAGAAAGTAAACTGTGCTCTTTTAACTAATACAGAATTTTCTTGACTTAAGTTCTCAAGTAAGTTTAGAGGCAAAATTACAGAAGCCAATGGATCCATATGTCTGCTCTCAAAATCCATCTGTCACACACGGGGATAAATTGGTAGAGTAATCACCATGAAATCACAATGATAACTTACTGCAAGTATCACCTTGGCTAGAACCAGGGCTGCCCTTTCCCTCCACCTGTCACTGCCCTCCTGGTGAATCCCCTATGGACAAAGGCATGCATCTCACTGGTTTTCCCGTATGTAGCAAAACAGGAAATGAATGGATTTTAACTGAGGCAACTGAGAAATTTAAAAATCAGTTAACATTTCCAAATATAAGAGTTAGATTTACATTAATATATATTTTTAAATATATTTATAGATTTAAGAGAGAGAGGAAAGGAGGGGGAGGGGGAGGGGGAGGGGGAGAGAGAAACATAGATCAGTTGCCTCATGCACGTGCCCTGACCAGTATCAAACTCACAACCCAAGGATGTGCCCTAATGGGAATCTAACTGTTGACTTTTTGGTGCACAGGATGAGGCACAACCTACTGAGGCACTGCAGCCAGGGTGACAAAAAATTTTGAGCTTTCTCAAAACATGCAGTGAAAAATAACTACCAAAAAAAAAGAGTTGATTTGTTTGATTGCTGAGAATGAGTATCACCGGATAGAGAAGCAGCTGAAATTTTATGCACACTTGGATGCCATTTTTCCTGAGCCCACAGATCAGGCCAAAGAGTGTTTGCTAGCAAATGGACTTGGAATGAGACAGAGGCTGACCGAGTTTTCACTCTTAAAATGTCAAATAGGGTTACCCTGAAGAGCCCGGAGTCTAAAGCAGAATAAATTCTTCCTCACATCCAGATTTGTAAATATTTTATCTTGGCTTTTCTCCACAGTTGAGAAGTATGCCATGCCACCGTGTGTCTTCCCATGTTAAGGGCACTGTTTCAATTCTTTCCTTTGCCCACGTGTCTAACACTGTCTAGCACACAGTAGACACTTAAACGTTATTTGCCCAAGTGGCACTTGAGCAGGTCGGATAGGGCTTCATTATTCTGGCCCCAGCTTTCCTGTCCAGCCTCACTATCACCTGCCTTCTCAACCTTCCACATCATTGGTTCTCAAAGCACGATCCTCAGACCAACGGTATCGGCCATACCTGGGGACGCATTAAAACTGCAAATTTTTGAGATCCGCCTTGGGCCAATTAAATTAGAATCCCTGGGAATGGGATCCCACCCTCTGTTTTGACAAGTTCTTCAGGTTTCTAATTATAACCTTCACTTGGGAAAGCCACTGGCAAAGAGAATACATCATGCTTCTTCCCACTTTTGGGCCCTTAATAAAGTTCTTTCTTCTTGATGAACTTATTCCAAATCCCCATTCCCAAAAGGGTGGACCCCACTAGTGCTTTCATACTTAGTTCTGCTATCACCTGAAGGTAAACTGCCTACCTCTATCATCTAGGTTCTGAAAGTATATTCCCTCTGTGTGGCCACATACCGTAGTTGGCATTCCAACTTGCCTGCCATCCCTCAGACCAGCATCTCCTTGAAGAGCAACTTGTAGGTGATCATAAAGTGTTTATCTATCTAATTAGTTAAAGTTAAAGAAACTACTGTACTAGCTCATACCTGAAAATATGACTCATTATTTTTTGGAAGACTGATGCTAAAATTTAAAACTTCACTAGTCTGTGGAGATAGGGATGATATTCCAAGAGCCAAATTCCGAGTTGTAATATTCACACGTGGTGTGCTGTTTAGGTCTATCTTGAAAGCCAATTCATCAATTGTTTTTAAAGCTCTAAAGAAATGAAAAATAATACCACCATTAAGTGACATGTTTTAGGTACCTGCACACATATGATTTGTTGCCAGACAAGATACAAACCAAAAAATAATTGTGTATTTATGTCTGATCTCACAAAATTACCCAAACCACAATAATAGCACTTAATACACAGAATCATAGTGATAAACATAGGCTTTAAGGAAAAATCAACAATTAAATCATACTAAACAAAGTCTGATTTTTACCTATTTTAGTCTTTCTTTTCTCATATAAAGAATATGTGTCCTACTCACAACTGAGTAAGAATCAATGAAAATAATGTGTAAAAGTATTTTTTGAACTACAAAAAACCGTAAGAAATAATTTGTAATTATTATGTAGCTAAGGTAAGTTATCTACATAATAATTCATTTGAACAAATATATAATTTTGATCAAAGAAATTTCATTGAAAGGAAGGAGATAGGTAAAATTAAGTATCTTAATAGCAATATCTTAAGTAAAATAATTAGAAAAAAATTAAATTATATAAAAATAGGTACATTTTCTCCCTTAGACTTTTTCATTTCAGAAGTACAATAACATGTCTGTGGTAACTCTATACCACAGTTCATAGGAGAGTGACTCACACTGACCAAGTTATGCCTTAAAGTTATGAGTTGAGTGTTTCTTAAGTGTCTCCATTACAAGCAAAAAGAGGGAGGGGTGGTATAAATGAATATTTGTGATAATTTATTAATCTATTGAAGTAAACCCAGTTAACATTTTTCAGATGCAAATGACATACTGATTATGCTTTTCTGGGATTATTTAATATCTTGCCAGATGACAATCCTAATATTTTTTTAAATTATATAACGAAAAAAAAAATAAGAAACTTCGAAGTTCACTTTGTGAATGATCTTGGGAAATATCAATGGATCTTCTAGAGATTAAAATGATGAGATCTGGGCAAAAAGCATTCAGATATGTGAGAAATTATATAACAACACATGCACCCAATAAATTTACTCTCCAGAAAAAACTTACTCAGAAGATGACTCAATCAAGTCACTGTCTGAACTGCTTAAGATATTAGAAAATATGTTCATTATAGTTGAGCCAAGATTTATATCAATATTTTCTTCTTTATTCACAAGTTTTTTGACCTGGTCTACAATGTTGGTAATATTGGCCGAATTTAAGGTCTGTCCATCACCAGTTAAATTTAAAATCTGATTGGCAACTTCATTTGCTTCCCCTAAAAAAGACAGAAAAAACAACATATCAAGTTTTACCTATTTTTTAAAATCATTTCCAGGATTAAAAAAAAGTGTGATATTTAACTTCATAGTTTAAGCAGCATATCAAGTTTTCTGTGTATACCCCCTTCTAACAATCCTCACAGAGCAATATTTCTTCACACACAAACTAACTTCTTTCTTTAGTAATACACAAATTGTGCCCTTAAGCACATATTGGTGAGACCAATATTCACATATAGTTCTAATAGAAATGGACCCAGAATAAATGATTATTTGCTATTTAAAATAATACAAAACTATAAAACATTGATATGAATATCAATGTGTATATTATTTTTGTTTTCTCTAAAAATGTTAAACAGTTTTTAGAATGAATACAACAGGAAATCAGAATGAGAAAAAAAAAGTATGTTTTACCTTAAGTAAGTGAAATTTATCATTTGCTAGCTTTTAATATTACAATAGTATCACATGGCAGAAGAGCATGTCTGAAGAGGATGAAAACCATGAAGTATGAGGTCATTTCCATTTGTCTTTGAGAACGGAAGAAAATCATTCACTTACTTGTACAATTGGAAATATCAGGATCCCCCCAGTAGGTTAAAGATGTGTTGGAATGGTCACGATGACTATGAACCAAAAAAAAAAAAGTATTTCAAATATTTGGCATAAATGACATAACTGACAAAATTAGGTAATGAAAAGTTTTAGAATTTGCCTTGATATCTATGTGTTTCATTTGAAAATAAAAGTATAATATACTGAAATTAAACTCCTTTTAAAAAATTCTTATTGGGAAAAAAAATCAAGTGCATGTCTCATGGAAACAAAACACTAGCAAGAGCCTGTAGGCTAATCTAGGTACATCAGGTTACGAAGGCTAAAGCCATATTTGCTAACATGGGTCAAGTACTGCTTTAAGAACTTTCCAGGTAAAATCTGACATTGATTTCACATAACTCTGTAGAGCAGAGTACAGTCCACATTTTTATAGATGAGAACACAGACTAAAATAAGTCAAGGGATTTCCAAGGTCTCAACCAGGAAGAGACAGAGCCATGCTTCACGCTCAGGTCAATGTCTACAGACCCCTTGTCCTCCTACCATGTGTGAAACACAGTAGTAGGAGCAAAGTTTCTGTTTCCGAAGCCCCCCCACCAACAAAACCCTAATTTGGAGTGCGGTTGAGGGTGAAGAACTGGATTTGACTTGTAGTTGACCTGTGGTTTCTGTTAAACATTCAGGGAAAATCTCTACCCTGACAGCAACCCATTAGCAAATTGCCCTGACCCAGATCCTATCTTCATTCCCTCTTTGGCTGCCTCTTCCCCCTCCAACAATAGCTATCCCAGGTAATTAAAAAAGTCTTGGAATTTCACATGCATGGTCAAAGGCTGTCAGCTAGCTTGGTTCATCCATATATAAGGTGCTTTGCTCTAGAGAAACCCTCTGGTTTCCAAATGCCTCCATCTTTCTTTGGAGAAGGTTAAATTCAAACGTTGCCTGGAGTAAAAACGCTTTTATCAGTAACCTGCCTCATCCTTACCTCTCATGGAGGTTATCATTTAGGCACACATAGAGATTCTTGCCCTTCTTTCTAAACAATAAACAATGCCTGGGAAATGTGGTGCAACATGTGGAACCCTGGGAAGGTATGATGATGTGAACTTTGCTGGCAAAGTCAATGAAGGTATTACCAGGTCCGTGAAGCAGAAAAGCCCGGCTTCCCTGGACAGGGATGCCTGTATTCAGAAGGTAGGATGACTGGCCAGTAAAAGCCTTTGGGTTTCTCCTCCGCAGGACATGTGCCTTTGTGAAAATAAGAACCAACATGAGAAACATTAATCTATTCTTTGAAGTTAGAGGTTCAAGATGACAGCAAGATAACAATGCTGCTAATTAGGTATTTATTTCATGTACCACCAAATTTTTGTGTTCTGAATTTGTAAAAATCTGAAATTAGAAATTTGGAAAAATAACCATTTACTCCATTTCAGATGCAAAAATTATTACAGCTTACACAACCATCAAATAAAACCATACACTTAAGAGAATATATCACTCTAAAGGAAATCATTAGCAGGTAAAATGAGTACAATAAAGGTTTATTTAAAAAAAACTATATAAAATGAAAACGGTCCTGAAAACTTCAAAATGTAAATTCTCCTCTGATCTTTTTTCAAAGGGGAAAGCCTATAAAATAATGTCATCATTGAGTTGTGGGGATATTTTCTGGAAAAGTCTCCAGCTGCTCTGAAAGCATCTTCTGCCTATTAGTTTGCTGGGGGAATGGCAAGAAGACACCTGTGTGCCCTAGCCGGCTTGGCTCAGTGGATAGAGCGTCAGCCTGCAGACTGAAGGGTCTCAGGTTCAATTCCGGCCAAGGGCACATGCCTGGGTTGCGGGCTTGATCCCCAGTGAGGGGTGTGTGGGAGGGAGGCAGCCGATCAATGATTCTCTCTCATCATTGGTGTTTCTATCTCTCTCTCCCTCTCCCTTCCTCTCTGAAATCGATAAAGAAATATATATATTAAAAAAAGAAGACACCTGTGTCCACCGCCACACATCTTACACACATGCCTCCATCCTCAAATCATCCCACCTGTTGTTTGAAAACTCTCTCAATAAGTGCCACCCTATAAATGATTCAGATTTTACAACTTAAAAAATATCAAGAGTCCCACTGGTGTTGCTCAGTGGTTGAGCATCAGCCTGTGAACCAGGAGGTCATGTTTTGATTCCCAGTCAGGGCACATGCCCGGGTTGTGGCTAATCCCCAGTGGAGGGCGTGCAGGAGGCAGCTGATCAATGATTCTCTGTCATCATTGATGTTTCTATCTCTCCCTTTCCCTTCCTCTCTGAAATCAATAACAATATATTTTTAAAACATCAACAGAAAACCAATATATTGATAACAATGACAACAACAAAATCTTATATTTCAGTACTGAAAAAATGTGGAAAGTTATACCATACTGCTGGGAACCAGTACTGCAGTCACCGATTGAACATTTAAAATGACTTTCCCACCTATATTTGGAACCTTAAAATTGTCAAGGGTTAGCCTATTTTTTTTCAATTAGTAGAAACTTTTCTTCACAGATCCACTTGCAGTAAAACAATAAAGTATAGGATTTAAATTAAGTGGTATAAATTACATGTCAAGGTATCCAGAGAGAGTTGTTCTGGAGTTCCTCAGCCTTGGAAGACAGAGTAAGGCCTGTCCTCACAGGGATCCTTCATCATATATAAACTACCATTCGTCAAGCTACTTCTTTGTGGAGACATCTATGTGTGAAAGGGTAGCATCTGTACCCACCCCACCCCCAAGAAGCCCCGTTTGTAAATAAGCAAGCATTTTCCCAAAGAGGCTCAGAAACTGTTGATGATGATGACAATGACGATTTGTGTTCTTCCATTTCTGTGAGTTCTCTGTAACTGTGTAAGTTGACGCATTAGAGATGGGAGGTTCCTGGTAGAAGGGAAGATGCTTGCTTCTTTATTACACTGTGTCTGGCTTCAGTTACCATGGTCCCAGAGACTGAGGTATTCTAGCTTCCCCCACTTCAACCTCCTGCGTGTGTATAAGGCCAAGTGTCAAAGTTTTTTTTTGATCTCTACTAATGTACCTTGTAATCTTTTGATCTCTACTAATATACCTAATGTACCTAATAGTTGTAATCACAGAATAACATTAGAATAAGCCTTGGCTGGGTAGCTCAGTTGATTAGAGCCTTGTTCTGATAGGCCAACATTGCGGGTTCAATCTCAGGTCAGGGTACATACAAGAAGCAATCAATGAATGCATAAATAAATGGAATAACAAATCGCTGTTTTTCTCTCTCTCTCCCTTTCTAAGTTTACTAGTACTTTCTACTGTCCACATTTTTGATCATTTGCTTTTCATAATATTACTATCAAGATACCTAGAGTACTGTAGACATTAGAAGACCATACAAAGAGTGGTGGCTCAAAGGCGGTAACATCTATTTATACATGGATGATGACAGAAAAGGCTTTATAGAAGAGGTGACTCTGGGTTCTCCTTAAAACTAAGTAGGTGATGAGCAGGGGGATGGTGAGAGTAGAGATGAGCAGCATGAGTAAAGACAAAGGAAGGAGGCACAGCATGCTGAGGAATTTCAAGCAGTACCACCTGTGTGGTTGGAGCTTAGGCTGTGTATGGTGTCTAGATAAGAATTGAATCTAAGCTCTGGATAACTCCCAGATTTCTGGCCTATTCCTGCAAAGTAGTGTCATTAATAAAGACAAAAAACATAAAAGAAGGAAGTGTTTTATGATAAGAAATTACCTTTTTTAAGATTTACCTCATTCGTGTTCCCATATGCATATATAGACACACTCTTTATTCCTAAAGTTGAAGCCAATTCTGCTCAAGACTCTCCTGGCATTGTGCTCATACCCTTAGTATTTTCATAATACATCCCTAAAAGAGAGTATAAATTCTCCCCTGCCTCTTTCATTTCTTTAGATTCATAGGCATCGAGTTGATTTCTTCTACGCTAACCATGTCATCAATTTGTTACAATATCACCACTATGATAAGTTTCATCATCAGAAAAAATAGCTTTAAATAAGGAAACAACACACATAGGAAGAATATTTCTGTTGTTTCGATTAAACCTGAACATATAATCATGTAAAATACATATAATAAAAAAATTAAAGGCACTTACCCACTTGACTCACACTCACTGTATATAGCCTCAAGCCCTCATCCAGGGACTCATTATTTTTTAAGAGCTTCTGCTGAATGACTTTTCCTTCTAAATTCAGATTGTTGGTAGCATTGTAAACCAGAAGGGCCCAAATCGCCAACCTAGGGAAACATTGTAGATAGAACTGTTGTTGGGTTGGCTGTTTTTATGTAGAAAAACAGAACATTTGGATATGGCAGTAAGAGGGATGACCATAAAGGGCTGACACTAAAAAGATATTCCAAGGCACACAGAGACTTCTATTGCTGTATAAATGATAATGTCAAAAATATCTCAATGTAAATGGATTTTATAGGATATTATTTTATAATGCTCATATATCACATCACTCCATTTCTTTTTTTATCATTTAAACTGACTTTTTAAAATGTATCTTTATTGTTGAAAGTATTACAGATATCTCCCCTCTTATTCTCCATTGACCCCCCTCCACGCAGCACCTGCCTCACCATCCCATGCCTTCACTTCACTATTGTCTATGTCCATGGATCATGCATATATGCATATTTCTTTGGTTAATCTCTGATTTTTTAAAAAATTATTTTTTAATAACCCATTTCTTTTGCAAAACACTCTTAGTGATATTTTATAGCATACATGCAAGAAAGGAACATGTGGTTAATTTTAGTTTCTTTATAGCCAAAAATAAAGTTTGTTAGAAAAATTGAATTTCAACAATCTGACTACACTGATCATTTTACTTTTGAAATTATTCGTGTGTTACAATTTCTCCAGAATTGTGATAACTGATTCTCCATCTCAATGGAATATTTGCAAATACTTTGCATGGTGAAAAGTTACAAAATATAGTCAGTGATTGACCAGTATATTAAGAAGTTTATAGACTTTGAATGTTTTAAAATATATATACTTCTATGGGAAACAGAGATGTATTCTAAAAGTCCTATCTAAACTTTTGGCTCTATAATTTGAAGTAATATAATTTTTGGCTGAACTATAATCACAGCCACAGTCAACAGCAGAAATGAAAACTATTAATTTAACATTGAGGGAAAATTAAATGACATTATTTTGTCATGTAGAAGAGAAATATTTTCCCTTATATGTGAAAATCTGGGTTTACAACAGAACTTTAATCTTCGTATTCTGAGGAGAAATGAATAATATGACCTAAGTCATTATATTATCAATATCAGTGACTGTCCACATGCCAAAGTCACTGATTTCAAAATAACTATGAAGCACTCAATAGAGCAGCGTTGTAGATTTTATTTATAAAATTCTGGGGGTACCAATAAAAATGAAAAAATCAGAGTATTAATATATTAGTGGTGCTAAAAAGAAAAAGTGAAATCTTTGCTATTGAAGGTTAGGGGAAATTAAAGAAGAGTTCTATTTCCCCCCTAGATACCTGTACTAATCTCAAGAACAAAATGCTCTACTGTTTTCATAATTCACTTTGAAGGGCTATTTATCTCCAAAATGATGTACTGCTTAATGTTCATGTATAAGACACATTTCAAGATGATTCAAACATAGATTTGAGTGAACTGGCATAATAGTTTTTAACATGGCTTATTAAAAAAAAAGTAACCATTGATTAAATTATCATTGAAAAATAAGTTTTGCCACTCCAGTTACTGAGAACTTCTAGTTGGGATTGTGACGTTATACTGCCCTTGAATATTGAGAACATAATTAGCACAATGTATTGTTGAATACCCAATTCAGCAATTCAAGAATGAGCCAGCACATATTGTTACAGGTCTTATCTGGATTGTTTTCCTCTCTCATCCTGAAAACTGAAACTATTTTGTAGCTCTACAAAGTCAAGTTCTATCTGTTGTTAGCATCAATCATTCTTTATTGAATAAACCAGTCTCTTTGGCTTTGGTTTCCTGTCTGTCTAGGCGATGGGAGTGTGATGGTGTTACCTGAAGCTCTAGTCTGTGTTAAGTGTTACAATCAAATTGAAAGGAAAGTTTGGGGGGAAAAAAGAGTATGTGTAAAACTAGTAGACTATGGTTTTAAGAAAAACTATGAGAGACTATAAAGGTTTATTAAGAGAATTAGAAAGTAGGAAAAAAGAGAGGGTGGGAAAAACTATGAGAATAAATTTTCAAAAAACGTCAAAAGTTCATACCAAAGAAAAACTAAACGTGTCGATTTTCCAAGATACACTGTCATAGTTTACTCTCCCTATAATTTTCTGTGAAGTTACCCAGTGGTTTGACAGACAGGAAACCGAGACTCCATGATTTTAAATTTCTTTCAAGCAAGAGTTTCTGAGGTGTTGACATATACTATTGTTGGCTGATTGTAGTACTGTCAGGTAGTGGAAGAATTACAGTAAATGAACTAAAGAGGGCAAGGCTGATCCCCTAACGGATTCTACTATTGGTGATACCTGAAACTAGGGTGGCCCCAAATGTTAGACAGTAACCAGCAAGGGATCCTGATCACTGCTGGATTCACTAGTGGAGGCTCACTATGATCTCGCAATAGGGATTAGAGGAGAAATTAATTGGCTAAATAGAGGAGAAACATCCATTAAGAATATAGTATTAAAATACATTACTCTAGCTCTCAGATAATAAAGGAAAATGAATTTGACAAAATAAAAACTTTCCCTAATCAGATGGTTCGATCCAGTCTGTTGAATATATACAGAAATGATAAGCTTCAAATATAACGTTAAAGAATTTTTTTTTTAGTGTTGAACAGAAAAAGAACAAGAAAACTTGCTGGTTAACTCTCATATGAAATTTTATTTTTATCTTCTTATAATAATAATATGTCACCTGAAAAGAAAGTTTATTCCATCATTATGGTTGTAAATCCATAATTTAAATTCAGTCAATTGAAACAGAGCAAGACTTATATAAACTTTTGCTCTTCTAATAATTACTTTTTAATTCTATGGAGATGAAAAATAGTACATAAACATAACTAAATTTATTCCATTTAGGAGGTTAGGTTGTTTTTCAGTATATGTCATTCTGAATTGCTGGCTTTTTTGTATGCCAACTCATTATATATGGTCCAATATCCATTAAATTATCTGCCTGTTTCAGTCATGATCTTGATATAAGTTTAAAATGGAGACTTCAGAAAATTAACTGATGGTTTCAAACGAAGGACATATTTTGGCACCTATTGTCCATATTATTATATGATGCTATCATACATAAATGCCTTATTTTAAAAAAGCTAAAACAATTTTATTTTTCTTTGAAGGTATCTTTGAAATGAGAGGTAAATGGTTATTATAAAAATAAAACTAATACTAAACTAATAATTCATCCATTTTAAATATCCTACTTCTGAATTATTTTTCATCAGATGTATACTTGTATCCATTCTGCTATATTAAAGTTTCAGCTATAAGAAAGATAGTAGTTAGTGTGCATTAATGATAAAGAAATATTCTAAACATGCTATGTGATTAAAATGTTTCTCTCTTATCTTATTGTTTTAATTTCTCTACCAGAGTTAAACAGAGGGCAAGAGGCAGGGTGTTATACTTTCTGTAAGACTTTCTCAGTGTTACCTTTGATCAGTCCCAATGCTTCTCTTGACTTTAACCTTGTCTTCTCCTGAGTTCAGGTGTAAACTATAAATAAAAATATGTAGATTCATTATCATCTGATATGCTATTACTACACCACAAAATTTTAGGAGATGAAAGAAAAAGGCAGAATGTACATTCTAAGGCAGTATTTCCAAATGTGTGTTCTGAGTAGTTCTAGTTTTTTTCATATGCACATGCAAAAACTAGCTGCACAGTCAAATAAGCTAAGCAACTATGTTCCCTTGCTTTCTTTTCAAGGTGAACATGCATGTCAGTATAATACTAAAGCATCTGAGATATCTAGAGTGGCTTCAGTTTATTTAATAATGTACTTCCTGATCTCATTTGACCAATTGATCCCTTTCTCTGTGTTATTATGTCTCTTGGGTACATAGAATATATGCTTAGGGTTCACAAAATACATTTAGAAAGCTAATTTTAGTATAAAACTGTGAAAACAAGGTCGGAGGAGCATATATGGGTGCAATTATTTGCTTGAGCTTTAGTGAAGTATTTAAATAGAAGAGTGAGAGATAATTTTGAAAAGTTAGGTTACAATCAGACTGTAGATGCCTTATCTTACAAAAATGGTCTCCAAACTAGGGTGCATGCAACCCAGGGGATGCTCTAGATGGCCTCCTGGGATCTGAGAAGAAACTAATATTTAATTATCATCTTTTCAATTGTGGTACATTATAACATATAATATATTCATTAAGTAATACACACACACACACACATACACACACACACACACACAGCCTAATATGCAAAGTGTCCCCTCAGGAGTTCGCTATGACGAGCACTGACCACCAGGGGTGGCACAGAATGAAGGGAGGCCTCGGCTAGCAGCCAGAAGGCCCTGATCGGCCCTGATCGCCAGCCAGGCCTAGGGACCCTACCCGTGCACAAATTTCGTGCACCAGACCTCTAGTGTATATATAATTTCTTTTAAAATCACAAATATATTTTGGGAGTACAGGCAAAATTTAAAAATAAAATGATTAGGATCCAAAATCAATAATTTTTTTAAATTACTGCTGCAACACTGAAACTTTTGTGTAAAGAAACAACATAATATAGAATTGTTGTAGAAAGATTATGAATATGGCACATGTGTGTATTGTGTGCTTGTGTATGTGGGTATAATCAGAGAAAGACAGAGTAATATAAAATTAGATACTACTTTCTATTCTCAAATCATTCATCCTGTCACTTACATGATATTCACCACGTACACAGTGCAGTTTCAATTTCGCAAGGCTGAATTAAGCTGAAAAATACAATGGAAAAGGGTGAGTTTTGGTAAAACTTAAAAAAAAAATCTGAATCAAGTTTCTTCCCTCCCAAAAGATAAGTTGTTATTGGAATAAGACCCTGGGAAAATCCCAGAGAGCAAAAGGAGTGAAAGAAAGGTAAAGATAACAGTTACTACATCACTGTATGCCAAGAACTTTACAAATGTTATTTCTTTTGACCCAAAACAACGAATGAGATAGGTATTATCTGCCCCTGCTGCCTTTTCAATGAAGAAACTGAGCTTAACAGAGATGGAATAGCTTGCCCAAAGTTACCCAACTAAGAATGAGTAGATTCCAGATTGGAACTCAAGTCTGTCTGGAAACACTATGCTTTCCCCTCCAGCTCATATTATAATGGGCTGCCGAGTTAGTCCTAACACTGAGAACTAAGCTGTAAGAGGGAAGATGGAAATGATAAACACTTCCATAGTCTTCATTCAACAGACACCAAGGGGCAATAACATGTTTTCCTAGTAATTACAATCTCATAAAAATATTAGTACTAAGAAAAATTATGTCAACAGTATAAACCTTTAAATAAACAAGAAGTATATTCAACATTTTGGGAGCTATGTTAATTATTATTTGGTTATTTAACAGTCTTTTTAGGTCTCAGCACCAGACTTTTTAATGAAGCAATGATTCTTCTCATTATAAATAATCAATTTTCATTATGCATTGTCCAATACAATCACAAAACAGGATTTCCTTACTGATGTGAAATTCTCTTATTTATATACCACTCCCAAAGGGTTTCTTTTTTAGGTCACTTCTCACATAAACATTTAGCATTACTTGCAAACATTCTAAAATTAAATGTAAATTTTATGAAACTCTGGTAATAAAAGCTAACTTTTTATATTGTAATAGTAATAATATGAATCAGGGACACCACTTATATTTCCTCTGTTATCAAGTATCTGCTTTGGTATCATGCATCTTAAGCTGATAGTGTCCAGCAAAGCTTAGCTTCAGATGAGAATGATCCTATGTTGAAAAGCATTCCTGAAATAAGTATAAATGTAAAATGATACCACTCTAAAGCAGATTCTCCAGTGAAGACTAATTTTTGAGATTCATAACATTAGATGTGGTTTATTTGGGAATGAAAATAAAGAGTTTTATCTTTTGAAAACACTCTGACTTTAAAAAAAGAACAATGCTAGAAAAAAATGGGATGCAATAATATACTCTTTCTGTCAAGACCGCTTTGTTTAGAAATGAAATATCTTCCAGTGTTTAAATTAATCACTACAGTTAATGTGTCATTCCAAAAAGTCAACAGTAGCATTTTCTTCAACTTCTATTAGAGAATTTCACTTTTACCCCCAGTTTTGTAATAGAGTTGTTAATTACATACTATTATTTCCTGTGATCAACTTGTTTTAAAGGGTGTAACCTTTAAAAATAAGACTATGTTTTCCTATCATTCAAATATGTTACATGCATATAATATATTGTCACCACTACGTCTCAAAGAATGGTTTAACTCTCTTTTGCCACCAAGGACACATTTATTAGGCACCTATAAAAAACTATTTTTCTTACTTCAGAATGTATATCCAAGTGACTTTATTCACAACAGCTGTTTAACTGTAATAGGATTACATATAAAAAGTAGTTCAAAGTACCATAGTTTACCATAGATAGAAAAATTAAAAAAATAATGAAAATGAAAAAATAATGAAAATCTGTGAAAGAAATTTTTTTATACTGTATAAGGAAGAAAAAAATAAAACATATTAAAGTTTTTAAATTGAAAATTACAAAAATTTTCATCAATATAATACAGGTTAAATAAATTATACTGTAAATATGCATCAACTGATGCAAATAAATGACAGCCACATCATGGAACCCTATGCAGTGTTTAAAAAAAAAAGATAAAAGGAGGTCTCTGTGTACTAATGTTATAAATCTGGTAATAACAAAAATAAGAATGGTGTGTAAAATATGTTACTTTGAGTGTAAAAGGGATAAAACAATCTTACTTTCTTTTATATGCACAAATTCTGGAAAAACCCAAGAAAAAAAACAGTGATTTCCAGGTTCATCTCCATGTAAGCTACAAGGATGGGTGGAAGACTTTCATGATACAGTAAGTCCTCGCTTAAAGTCATCAATAGCTTCTGTGACTTTAAGCAAAATTATGTATAATGAAACTCATTTTACCATAGGCTAATTGATGTAAATAAGAATCAAGTATCTATGGCATCTCATCAGTGTTAGAACAAAATGACATGAATGAAATGGCATATTCGTGGACCTCTGCATATCTTTTTATACCTTTTGTTTTTGATACAAAAATTCTCAAAAAATAATAAAATAAGAAATATACTTTTAAAAATAGTGCTGAAAATGCATGCATATTATAGCAAATAAAGATACCTACCAACACACATTTCCATTTGTGTGGCATTTCTCGTTTGGACATGAATAGTCTATTAGGCTCAGTTTCTTGTCCTTTTTTTCAAATGCACTCCTCTTTCTATGCATAAGCATAATACCCCACGTACTTATCAATTTATACATTTATAATGAACAACACCTATGTACCAGTATCATCTGTGGATTGAGTTAGCCAAACAGCAGGGTCTTTTCCAGATTTCCAGAGGTTAACAGTATAAAAACAAAAAAGAAATTTTACAAGTTCACTTACCCATTCTGCCACCTTGTTCTGTACTTTTACCTCAGGGTGATGAAGGATGTTTTGAATCACTATGGAAATTCTATAGATAATTCCATCTGTCCATTAGAAACAGGATTTAGCCCATTAATTATATTTCAGAGCCATATAATTATTAAGGTAAATCTACAATCATATAATTTCATACAATTTAAAAGAAACATCTACACAGGTACAGAAAAATTGAGATTTTTTTACTTTATGTTCATTGACCTTTGCAACTTCTTAGAGTTACTGATTATACATATAGATACTTCATTCATTGCTCCTAAATCATCACCTGCACATTTCTTCTATTTTTAAATTCTATAAATTTCTGATATCTATGGTCTGTAAAGTAGTGACCCTTCATGTACACTTTGGTTTCTTGTAATAAGAACTTATCCTTTTTTTGTACGTTATAAAGAGTTGGGCATGTGAAAGCGAGTGGGATGATGGGCAGACAGTAACTTGAAAAAGAACAGGCTTACACATATTTACTACTTCGGCCCCTTATTCTCCCTTTCCTTTCTTTCTCCTCCCCAACAAAGCTTTACTTCTACTAAGTTATTGGGTTGGATTTCACTTTTTTTTTTTCATCAAAATTTCATGAATGTAGTCATTTCTACCAAAGTAGAGGGGAAAAAATAATATTTTCAGAAAGAATTTCAATTGTACTACCTTGATTTAAAAATAAAACAATGTCAGAGAAAGTTCTGCTTTTTTTGGGGGGGGGGGCAATCTTTAAAGTAGTATAATACACACACACACTACACACATACACACACACACCAAACTCACCAGCCAGGACCTGCTAAATCTCTCTAGATGCTTGTTACAGGGCACCATGCTAAAATATAGTAGGTTACTGAGAGAAAAAAAAAATTTGAATCTCCTCTATAATCAATCATCTTTCTTCATGTTTATGTTGTGGTATGTCTTGAATAAAATATACATAGAAAATGTAGAAATATGTAATTAAAACAATGATAAGAAATGGATTTAATAAAGATTTTTGGGAGGCAGTACCAAAAAATTACAAAAAGTATTCCTCCCGAATCTACCAAAATGTAAACTGCTATCCAATTACTAAAGGAATGTTTTTCCAATCTATGGGTCAGAATCTTATGCAAAAAAAAAAAACACAAAACAAACAAACAAAAAACACACCACTCTAGATGTCATATAAATATATGAAATTGATACAGGTCCAAGTGAGAGTAATTTATAAAGATTATGTTATTTTAGCTTCTAAAAGTCTTCAGTTATTTGAATGATCTTGAATTTGTATTCTCTTAAAAATATTCTGAATGGAAATATTGAGAAAGATATTTAAAATAAATAATAATTCGGACAAAAAACCCTTTATACTCTAGATCTTATCATATCAAAACATGGACATTCCAAGTGATTGAGAGGAAATTCAAATTGCAGAGGTCCAGGATTCTATATTTAGTTCAGATTCCTAGGGATCTTCTGTGAATGTTCCCTGATGCCAGTATAGTAACTGAAAAGCTGCCACTAGATGGAGATCTAAAGCATGTGTTTGTTCAACAGTAGTTAGCAATCTTTCCCTCTCAGGAAAATATTACAAAATACTAATTATCAGTGTTTTATATCACTGACATTTCTGAAATTTTATAGAAGCATCCAAATAGTTAAGATACTTTTCTTTAAATTTTAAATATGTTCTACCTCACTTTTTTCAGTTCACTGTTTTTATAAATGAGAAAGACATCTGAGGCAGACTAAATCAATTTATAAATATAGTACTCTCCTTAGAGTTACATTGCTGAAAGCAAATAAAATATGTGAATATGCCAAAAAACCTAGCATCTTGTGTTACAGATTCTCTTGTGCTGTGGATCATTATCAAGTAGTCTCTCCTCAGAAGCCTCAGAATGTGGTATTTTTATAGTTAGCTGAAAGCTACTCAGCAGAGGCTACTTGTTATACTTATTTAAAAAAAAATTTGAATAATGTAGTTAACAATTAATCCTGAGGAATGTCCAAGAGTGAATTGTCAAAACAAAATAAAATGTCCACCAAAGGGTTGGTGAAAGGGGTTTTGAGTTGCAGCAAAATAACTGGTTAAGCACAGCCAATGCAGAAAATGCACAATGAAGACAGTGATGCAGGCTTTTCCATGTCATCCTCGCAGTCTTCCCTATAAACGTTACAACTCCCACAGTGACTCAATAGAAAAGCTATTCACAAATCTTCATTTGTTCCAGAGACATCAAAAGATGAATGCTTTTTCCTAATAATGGCACCCAGGCCAGAAAAATTCATGAGAGACATTTCTTTGGGGAAAAAAAGTGTGTAAGAATATATCCACTTTTCAATTAGATAACACTTCAAGCCATGAAGAATATCAAACTACGAATTATTATTTGCCATTACACATGATATTAAAAAATCGTATTCCTGTCTGGAGATCTTTCTCCAATTTAATTTTTCCTTTTTGTCTTCTTAACACACTTTTTTGGAGTTTCTTGGAAGATACAGAAATGACATACTTTACACTATAGTCAAGGTTGTGAAATATAGATTTGAAAAGTAGATTTTTTAAAAAATATCCTCACCGAGGATATTTTTTAAAAAATTATTTGAGAGAGAGAGAGAGAGAGAGAGAGAGAGAGAGAGAGAGAGAGAGGCGAGAGATAAACATCAGTTACCTCCCACAGGCACCCCAACCGGGGATCGAATACATACAACCTAGGTATGTGCTCTGACCAGGAATCAAACCCACCAGGGCTGAAAGGTAGATTTTAAAATATATATTTGAAAAGGTAGATGTTCATTTATAAAGCAAATGTTATTTTAGATTCAAGTTTATTTCTTTGAACTAGTGATGAGACAATTACGATATGACAGTGGTATTTGTAATATGACAGGAGCCCTGCTCATCCTACACACAATTTCTTTAAGTACAGCTAGATTGTTGTTGGATCCATATAAATATCATGAGAGGATATTTTTTATTTGAGTACTTAAATGCATGTGAGAAACTAGAAGCAGTGTTACTATATCACTTGTAAGCTAGGTTTTTAGAACCGTAAAGACTAACAAAGGTATTTCCTTACTTGGGTTGCTGACCTCACAAAAGTTTAACACATAGTAGCATTAGAGTGATGCTGCAAGCATAGAAAATGTAATTTTGAATGGAAACAAAAATTGATCAAAGAGCTTTTTGGGGAATATAACAGAAAAGGCTAAAAGTTATATGTGAAAATAACTAGGTTATCCAGTAGTTCCTGAAATATCTGTGAAAAGTAGCTTAAAAGATAAGATTTTCTTAGTATATAATCTGAGATATCATATCAAAGTCCTATTGAAAATAACAAAAAAAATTCCTGACACAGAAAAATAGGAATATTTCACAAAAGTGGGAAAAGAACATTTAATTGATATATTGAAGAAATATGTCTGATTGTTAACCAATTTCAACCCCTCTCCCCTCTCTGTTGATGAACACAGTAAAACTCTTTGATAGTCCAGAGTTTAAGAAAGCAGGTAAGGTAGAAAATAGATTTGACAGTTTGCTCATCTTTCTTACAGTGAACAAAATAAATTCTCTAATACAGGGTGGGCAAAAGTAGGTTTACAATTGTGAGTACACGAAACACTGAGTTTATTCATGTATTATTATTTATTAATTACTGTATTATTTTCCATATGAACAACTTTAAACTACTTTTGCTCCATTCTTATATCAGATCATAGGCCTGAGAATGTTCACTATATCAGATTCTCAAGGAATAAAAAAAGTGCATCGGAAATTGTTGGCAGTATGTGAATGATCTTAGATAGTCCAGGACATGACATCAAATCCCACTTATTCACAAGGTGAACAAGTAATTCTCTTCAATTATTGCAAATTTGACTACATCAAAGAAAAAATCTTACTTAGATTATCGTCTATCTCTGTTACTCTCCCTTTTAAAAAAGACAATAAAGGCTTTGGGGGCTGAGATGTGAGAAAGCAATAGGATATAGGGAGAATCCAATGACATTGTTTTCATTATATTTATTTTCACTTCTTTTTTTAAACCAGTGGTTATGCTTTAATTCTACAACAGTGATATCAATTTTTCCATCCATATAAAAATGTTTAAGCAAAAAAAAAGTGAGCCAATTTAGAAAAAACACCACACCTATGAAATGGATAACAGAGATGGTTCAAGGATGTGATTAAAAGATGGTATACAGATTTGAGTACACAATTTTGAAAATATTTCTACTACATGATAACCTATGAATATTTTTAAATATTTTAAAATGCTAAGATTATATTTTTATCAAGAATCATCTGAATTAGAATATTTTTCTTAAATGTGGTCGCCAAACCATTTCAATTGACTTTAACATCTGCTCGCTTTGTTGAAACTCCAATAAAGGCTATGACGCAGAGAGATATGGAGTAAACAAGGCTCTCTTCAAGAATGTCAGAAATGACACGACTGGGTGAATACAGCTCTACTCCACCAAGTCAAGGACTCTGAAACATCATATAAATGTTCTTGGGCAGTAGAGGATGTGCCAGTCCTAGAGGGAGAATGCCACAGAGGCTCTTTGTATGTTCATACAAAGAACGAAGTACTTCGTTAGAATTATAATATTCCCATCTACTGGCTGGCGTCCATGTGAAATATGCACTGGAAACTTCAGCTGCTGTTGCTTTCTTGGGGGTTGCTGGAATTTTTGCTCCATCATAAATCTCCTTGGTGTAACTACCAGAATAACCATAAACACTTCCCTGAATCGATGTCTTTATAACCCTTTACATTTCATGTAAAATATTCCATACTTCCAATTTAAACGTCCTTACAGAGGAAGTTGATGTAACCCCAAAGCCAAAAGAAAAAATTAACTATGTATGTTTCTTTTCTCTGGGTTTTGGTCCCTGGTGATACATTAACAGATGTCTTGGCCTCATAACTTATTGGAGTAAGAAAATCTCTTTGTTTCTAATACCTCATGTTTGAGAATATTACTGTATTTGAGGCTATGGTGTAGTCACCTGATTGGAATTTCTCTTTTTCAGAAGAAACTAAAATCATTTACTCTGAATTACCAAAAAGCTATGTATATGGTCCATATAGGAAACTGTTTGATTTATGATTTAGTTGATAGACAATCATATTCTAATCATTATTGGTCAACAAATAAAAACATAGAGCAAATTATTACCATGTAAAGTAATTTAAATGTCACAAATATTTAAACATAAAGTTGGCTTTAGTGAAAAGTTAAATTACTAAAAGTAGATTTTTAAAATTATAAAACCCTTTAGAAAGTAGTTTCCCGAAGAGAGTAATCTAACAAAAGACCATGAAAAAAATGTTTTTTCTGCTGTCTCTAGCATAATATAAATTCATTCCTTTTCATCAAATGAATTTCTCATAAAATTTCCTTTGAAAGAAATTTTAGCTAAAAGTACAGATGAGTGGTACTGGAAGTGAACTCATTCCACTGGTTACTAGAATGAGGAACTCAAGAGAACCAAGGGATTTTATTTATTTTACTAGTCTTGCAAATGTACCAGTTGATTCTAATAATAGAAACTTTGTTGAAACAGATATTTCCACCCTGAGAATACAATTTTTAATACATCAGACATATTACAAATATAAAAGGTAGTTTCTTACCATTCCTTTGTTTATCGATTCTATTAGTAACAGGCATGTTAGTGGTGACAGTAGGTGGTGTAGTACTAGGAGAGCTTACAGTAGCTGCTAACAAAGATGAGAAAAATGTAATTTTGCAAGGAGCACATGGCAGTTAATATGGATGAGCAACCTATAATTAATTCATGACACTACATGGAGAAGGAATGGAATCTTTTTCTTCCCATTAACTACAACAGACTCTGAGGTTGTAATGCATAAAATAAAGCAATGCTTTCTATGGCACAGTAAGAATCAGTTCACATGGCCTTTGGTATCACATTGCAATAGTCTGGATCTGGCACAGAGGAACTGGAGAAAGAACATTTAGATTCTAGAGACCTATGTCTGCGATTAACAGGCGGATGACCACACTGTGAATAAGTAAACCTTTACAGAACTCAGTTTCCTAAGTTTGTAAAAGCAAAAGGTTAGAGGAGACATTCTCTATCACACCAATCAGCTAGAAAATGATCCAAACTAAGTCAGTCTTCCTGATTCACTAAGAACAGAGAAATGAAATCTCAGAGAAAAACATGTTTCTCCTTGAGAAGATGAAATAAAACAAAATGAAAGAATAAAATGTATAGACTGAATCAATCATTTATAGATCCCAATAACTTTACTGAACAGTGATGGACAAAATGGATTTCATAAGGACAAGCCTAAGGGGGAAACATTTTCAAAGCATTATGTCATAGATATGCTTCTGATATTACTAAAACTCAAAGATGAAATCCTTATGTAATGCTTTGAAAATATTTTTCTATGGAATTCTGAAGGAGATATACAGGGTGGGGCAAAAGTAGGCTTACAGTTGTGAATACATGAAACATAGAGTTAATAAAGCTACTGTAATAATCATTACCTCCATGTCTTTTTCTATTCAAACAATGCTAAACCTACTTTTGCCCTACCCTGTATAAGTAGTAGAAACACTATACATATAATTTTCCTTTAGTTTATCCTAGGGATAAACTAAAACATTTGTATTAATGTACATTCATATGGACAATAAACATTTGTTATGTGTCTCATTTTTTTAAATTACCTAAATTTAAGTAATTACCTTCTAAGGGATCTGTAGAAAATAGCAAACTTCCTGTTTCAAAATATTCTTTCTTAACTAAAAAATTTTCCATTTCCAAGTGATATGTAATATTTAAGAATGGGGATTCTTTCTGAATTCTTTTTAAAAAAATGATGAACAGTCAGTTATATTTATCTTAATGCAAAATGCATCAATAAACAGGAAAATGTTTTGTTTTGTTTCTTGTCATTTAGGACACAGGGGGGTGGATAGCTGGGCATCTGGTCCTGTGACCCAAGGAATCAGTACTATAGGTATCTCTGATTAAAATAAAAAATAAGTAATTTTAAAAACCTTTAGATCTTGAACTAGGCAAAATTATTTTTTTCTGTGTCAGATAATTACTTTTAAACTACACTGAGTTTATGGAAACCACGTAATACTTTTATTTTCATAAGGTACTCATTGATAATAATATCAGGAATAATCCCTCAGAAAGGAAACAAGATAATAATGAATTAAAACCCCACTTCCACACTGGAACCACAGAAGACACCTTTAGTTTCTATTCATTTAGTCTCACTTCTAACCCAAGTCACTTTCATGCTATGTTCCTCCTAATAAGAGATCCAGCTTTTACAAAAGGCATGATCATGATTCTTAATGTGGTATATAGAACAAAGAAGTATTTAATAGATTAAATGAATGAAAATGGGTCATGGAAATTAGGAACAGCGATAATAAAATTAAAGCAAAATATATAAGTTTAAAACATTCAGGACTTTAATTATGTATTATTTAGCATGCAACTGTTTAGTCCATAATATATCGTTAGAATGCTGGCATAATGTAGTCACTATGCATTATAATAACCAATAAAATTATATTAATATTAGTTTATTATAACTAATTTTATTTCAATATTTAAGTTACATTGCACCTCATAAATTGCCTCACAGCCTTGTGTTAAGCGTAACTGAATATTCAACTTAATTTTTCCTCTTGTTTTTTAGACATGAATACTTTTTCAAGACATTGTATGACTGTATTTATACTGGACCTTTGCAATATTCTTGAGGAGACATAGAGGGGAAAAATGAAATCAACCCTTGGTTAATAGCATATAATCATTCACATTTAAAAAACTCAGTGCTTTATGGAAATGTGGTCATCCAGTCTGTGAATGCATTCTTTCTCCACACTGTACGTACTGTGCACCCACGCAACTAAAACACATCCAGAAATTCTTCTGTTTTGCTGGTTTCTGACTTCCCAAGAGAAAATTAAGATACAAATCAAAACAATAAAAATGCCATTATCCAAAATAGCAAGAAGAAAACAGAGAGACTCCAGAGGACAACGCTGGCTCCCTACCTTGGCAGAGGGTCCCCAAATCGGCACAGTTGGCTAGTTCTGCTGCTGGGAGCGGGATCAGGTAGGAACCTTGATCAACACAGAAGGTTATATAAGTTTGACTTGTGTACAAGATTTAATATTATCCAGGAAAAAAAAACATGAGTCATATGTTTGGTATAAGAGGAGCAGCCCTAAAAGCATCATCCAATAATACTCCAACATTAAGAGAGTCTCTTAAAGTCTCTGTGTCTTAATTTCTGTACATGTAAAACCAGGTTATTGAAATATCCCTTAAAATCTTTAACTCAACTTATTGTCCATCCACATATGAAAGGACAAGTTTGTGTAAAAAATCCAGGGCCTCTTCACATAATAAATTATACAGCTCTGGTGGAAATCTGTACAGATGAAATAATATACACATCAAAGATAAGTTTCAAAACTAAACTTGGCTAGTAATACTCATAATATGCACATTTTGTTGCTAGCCACTAACAGATGCTATTGACAATTCCAGAAATACATTTCTTTGATTTCAAGGTGGTCTCTGTGTCTTTCTTTTTCAAGCTTTTACTGAGTCATCCTCAGTAGGAAACAAGTTTGAGCTGATTTTCTAGTAGGAGTAGTGGGTTTTCTCTGTTGCATTACATCTTTCTCTGACAATTAACAGACTTTTATAAACAGGCTGAGGTGAGGGGAGCTGAGTTAAACTTTTCACAAAGCATACTGCACTATGAATAAAGACAGAGGATAAATACAAACACACACACATAAATAGATATATTCAATTTTAAAAGGACATTTCAATTTTAAAAGGACATGTGATTCCATTCAAATGTTTAAACATTTTCCAAACTTTCCTGTGGGAATAGTACCTGCAGGTAGAGCAGGCACAAAAAGATGAGCTAACAAAAGATGTCTAGGTAAATGGTGTGCATGAACAGAAAGCATCCCCAGTTTAATAGCATCTCCATTCTTGATTGCTTCAGGCACCTGGCCCAAGGAAGAAAATCATGTTACCTCAGAAGGGCCCAACCCTACAGGCAAGTCTGTAATGTTAACTGGTACAAAGCTCTCATTACAGGCCTTTACATGTTCATTCAATAAAAATTTACTGACTGTTTATAGTGTACGAGGCTCAGAGGCTAGAGTAATACTTTGAGATAATGTCCCTACTCTCAGAGAGGCATACATGGGAAATGGCTTCATAGTTCTCTGAATGATATAAGTATTTAGTAGCCCAAAGCAGGACGTGATCAGCAGTTTGGTGAGAAGGGAGAGTGTGCATTTCATTACAAAGAAGAGCTGCGAAGAAGATGAGGAGTCACTATACTGATCACGGGATAAGAGACTAGAGATGGGTATTTCTAGCAGACAGAATTACTGAAACAGATACCAAGAAGGCTGTGAAGAGATCTGGGTACCCAAGTGACATGGCATCACTGGTTATCTGTAGAAAATTGGTAGGAATGGTCAGATATATAGGCAATGGGTTAAGGGCCTTGTAGAATGTAGGCACCACGAGTGTCTCTCCAAGGATGGTTTATCCCATCCACATCTCAGGTGGGTGCTCGAGCTTTACTGAACAAATTACTGAATGCATGATGAACAACTGCTCACATTTTGAACTCTTTCTTAAAGGAAATGGGAAAAAAGTGAAAGGGAACTAGGTGAGAAATTTCTATTTATGTTTGAAAACACCTTTGAAGCCCATAACCAATTAGAAGAGGGGAGGTACAAGAAGCATGAATAACCCTATTGATTCAAGCTGGCATCACGACTAAAATGACAATGGACAGAAAGAGATAGATGCAAGGCATTTGCAAGTAGACTGTCTAGGATTCAGAGACTTTTTGGAAGAGGGACAAAAGAGATGAAGACATTTTCTTCTGGTTTCTAGCTTGAGAAATTGGTACATAATAATCTCATAAAAGGAGATAGGAAATACTGGAAGAAGAACAAACTTAGGTGAGGGGGGCTCACCAGTAAATCCAGTAATGAAAACTGAGGTGCCTGAGAGACACCTGGACACACAGCAGGTGCACATGGGTTTGTAAGAGGTCTAGCCAGGCAATACTCAACAGAAGCGATAGCCGGGTCTAGGATCACAGGAGCTAGAGTGAAGATTTGAGAAGGATATAACCATAGATATTCCCTTATTTAAGGATCAGGTTTGAGAAGGTAAAAAGAGCTTCTGCAGAAGGTGGTTTTTCAGAATTAAAGTGAAGAAAGTTTCATGGAGGGTGTGGCAATACCAAGTGCACAAGAAAGGTCAAGAATGATAAAGACTGAGAAGACCTTTAACTCTGCACTGGAATTTTGGTAGCAGTTCTACAGAACTTAGCTTCAGGAGCGTGGGAATGAAGGACTCTAGATGCCAATGTTTGATTGAGGGGTGAATGCAAAAGGAGGAAGCGTGGCTATGAAAGGAAGCAGAGATAGGAAGGAGAGGTCTTAAAGATTGAAAGCTTGGACAAGTATACCATGGAAAAAGAACATTTGAGGAGACAGAAGTTGAGGTCAGCCTCAGGCAGGACTGAGGTAGAATACTATCTTGAAAGTTTTCTGCCCATTATTCTTAACTAATGCCCCCTTCTTGCCAGACCTTATTTCTCCTTTAGGTACTTACATGTTAGTAAGGAACTTCTAAAAACTAAAAACTCAAAATGAGTGAGGAAATCTCAGCCACTGTAACAGGCGACAGAGGAGACCCTTGGATGGAGTTCCTGTGCTGCTCAAATTACACACAATGTTGGCAGTCAAAGGCTCCCTGGCCACTCCTGGCCCTGATACAGTATCTCTGGACGACAAAGGGAGATAAGGGGACATTGTTGTGGGAAAGAAGTTTTATGGCTAACTGCTTTCCCACTGCAGTATAGTACAGAGCTTAGAGGTGGGGATGGGAAAGAAAACCCAAAGAGTTATGATTTACAGTAAGACATTTGACAAATTTTATTTAACATTTTATCAGTGTCATTGTATCATAACAAGTATACATATCAATATATGACAACCTCTTCATGGGAAATTGTAACATTTACTTCTCAATATTTAAGTTGTCAGTTGTTCCTTAAAGCCTAACAAATGGACATTGTTTTATAAATACTCAATAAACACTACCTTATGGAGATTCAATATAGGAATAGATGTTAAGTTTGATAATTTGGGGGGGGGATAGTATAAATACAAGTGATGAGTATTATTAGAGAGAAATTATATTGATAAATAAAATATTGCATTATTAAAACACCCAATTATATAATTACATGAAATATAAAAAGTAGATGCAAAAAAAAAATTTTTTTTTTATTTCTAACTAGTTCCATGCTCAGCATATCTGCATAAAAAGTCACTATTGCTATCGGTTTTCCTAGGCCAACAGATTTACAAACCAGGATATCGTTAAGCAAGCGAGACAATTCTCCCTCCTGGATAATGATAATATCTTTTTCATCAAGGAATTGTTTTCAGAATGTAACCTATGTATGTTCACTCATTTTTATAGATACCACAAAGGTGTTTAAAGGTATTTACTTAATATTAACTGCAAAATTTAGAGTCAAATTTCTTTGGAAAAAATGTAATCATTAAAAATGGGCAGTTGATGAGAAGCTGAAAATCTTTCTTTTCTATCTGTTGTTCTTGCAAAATTATACTACTAAAAGGAATCACTATTTATTTACAGGGGTTGTGGTAAAAAAGATTGATGTGTAGTCAACAACTCATCTCATAACCTATTTAATCACAATCCAAATAATAGTAGACAGCAATGAACCCTTAGCATGAGTTACAATGGGGAAAAATAATTCCTTTTCAATTCCTTCTTTGCAGCTGTACTAAGCTAAATTTTACAATTTTTCCATAAATAAATATATCTCAAATAAAACTATCTCCAAGAATCATTTATGCTCATAAAGAGTTTAAACATCTCTAAATAATAAAGTCCTTTGTAAAGATAAAGTGATTTTATCTTCATTATGTGAATATAATGTATGTATACGTTATCCTATATAATAAAGAGCTAACATGCTAATTAGACCAGACAGCAGAACAACCTTCCTGAATGACCAGTGGGCAGGGGGCGGGGCCAGCGATCCTGTGCTGCCAGGCCAGCCATGGCGGTCCCAGCACAACCCCTTCTGCAGAGGTGAGACAGGGCGTGACCACGGCACCTCAACCTCCCGCAGCCCCTCCCCTGGCTGGCCCGGCCCCCAATCGCCCCCCCCCCAGTAGGTGGGGGGGAGGGCAATGCTAAGGAGCAGAGAACCCAGCTGGTGAGCACAGCAGTAGTGGCGGGAGCCTCTCCTGCTTCTGCAGCAGGTGGGTGGTAAGGGGCGAGGGGTCTTGGACTGCAAGAGGGATGTCCATCTAAACCAGCAGGTGGACATCTACCAAGGGGTCCCAGACTGTGAGAGGGCGCAGGCTGAGCTGAGGGACCCCCC